ACTGAAAGAACTCAGCAGGTTTTGCAGCATCAGTGGAGAGAGAAGCAGTTAATGAATCCAAGATGACTTTTCTCTTCAGAACTGAAAGGGGTTGGAAAATGATCATTTTTTATGCCTTTGACAGAGGCAGAGAAGGAATGAGTGGAACAGGTTGAGAGAGTGCCAAGAATAAAAGACAAAGGAGAGCTCTTGGTAGTAAAGGAGTAACAGAGATGCAAAATAGGTGTGAATGATGTGAGCTGCTTTGTGGAGAGCAACATCAACAAGATACAAACGAAAGATTGCCCTGGGGTTTTGGGGGTTAAGAAAAATGGACGCCAGATGTTGTTGAACTCAATTGTGTCCTAGAGGCTGTAAAGTGCCACAGGACACCAGCATCCCCCTATATCAGCAGTTTTGATAAAGTCAGGGTTAGACTTCAGAGAATGAGAGCGCCAAATGTTTGGCAGGAGACATTTTCAAATGGGGTGAGGAAAATAGGGACATTAAGGTCGCTGTTGTCACTTTGGCAGTTTTCAATGAAGAAGTCAAGTGCAGTTAAAGGCCAGAGGTAGGTTCCAGGTGGAGGGATAGTATTGGAGACCGGTGAAAGAATCTGTGCCATCAGGTAAGGACTCTAGTCTAAAAAACTGGGCAGAGGGAAGAAGAGTTAAACGTTGTGTGCCTAAAATTCATGGAAGTGGTGGCAGAAAGGGATAAAACTAATTCCTTTGCTGAGCACAGATTGTTCCAAATCATAGGAGGGGAAAGCCAAAGAGAGTATTAAAAATGCATGGCGAGGTTGGATTAGAAGCAAGGATGGAATTGGAAGGAAGGGGAAAGAAAGAAGAATCCAGAAGTGTTTTGGGAACTGAGGCTTTGGATTTTTCTAACACTCAGTGTTTTGCATTTATTTGAAGGAAATATGTCATCCTTATCCATCTGACCCACATGTGACTTTATTTTATTCACTCACAGGACGTGAGCACTGCTGGTTAAGCCAGCATTTATTGTCCATCCCTAACTATTAGGATGGGAAACCACATTTCCATGCGTCTGGAGTCACATGTAGGCCAAACTGGGTAAGGATGGTAAATTTCCTTCCCTAAAGAACATTAGTGAACCAGATGGATTTTTAAGGGAATCGATAATGGTTAGATTGCTATTAGGCCAGCTATTAAGTCCAGATTTCTTTTTTATGGAATTCAGATTTTGCCATCTACCAGAGTAGGATTTGAGCTCAGATCCCTAGAGCATTTGCTTGGGTCCTGGATTATTGGTCTGGTGACATAACCACTACACCACTGCCTCCCTTTAAATTCCAGATTCCAGATCCAAAGCAACCTGGTTGCCTCTTAACTTCCAGAGAGTTGCAAAAAAACAGCAATGACAAATTCAGAAAAGGAATGAAATGAATAAACCAATGTACACTGACCAAGGCATCAGAAGTTACAACTGCCCACCCAGCACAGGCATCCCTGAAAAAGTCATCCTTAGTATTATGCAGGGCATGTGCCAAAATTGTGAGAGCTGCCCTACAGACTGGTCTAGAAGCAATCTGACATTGCCGTTAATCACAGAATCAGACCTCACAAACAATGTTCCAGACACCATCATCACCAGTTACAGCTTGTCTCAGCAGCTGGGCAGGTCCACTAGAGATCTTAGCACATGGTCTACAGTCAGGATGGAGATACCGTGGGAGTCAACAACCATTGGCTCTGGCCCTTACGAAGTCTTATTGATCGAGACAGACGTGGGAAAGGAAATCTCCTCCACCAACTACCTGATGATTCCTCCATGTGGAACACCAATTGGAAGAAGCACTGAAGGTGGCAAGGACACAGATTGATCTCCAAATGGGAGATTTCATTGTCTGTCACTGAGAGAGATTTGGCAGTACCATGACTGACCAAGCTGGTCAAGTCCTAAAGAACATTGCTGCTCAACTGGGTTTGCACCAGGTGCGAAGGAACACAAACAATAAGTGTTCACAATAGGTGAAAATGTATTCAGCCTCATCCTTGATAATCTACTTGTTGTAAATGCAACAGTCCGTAACAGTACTGGCATGAGTGACTACCGTATGGTCCTTGTGGAGTTGGAGTCCTATCTTCACATTGAGGATATTCTCCATCATGAAGTGCGACATAAACACTCTGATAAATGGGAAAGATTTTGAACAGATCTTGTAAATCAAAACTGGGCATCAATAAGACCATCCGTCTTAAGATATAGGAACAGAATTAGTCCATACAGCCCATCAAGTCTGCTCTGCCGTTCAATCATTGTTGATATATTTCTCAATCCTATTCCCCTGCCTTTTCACCATAGGCTCTTGATTAGGAAGGAGATTAAGGTCTTTCTATTTTCGGTCTAAAAAACGCTCAATGACTTGGCCTCCACAGCCCCTGTAGCAGTGTGTTCCACAGATTCACCACCCTCTGACTGAAGAAATTCCTCATCTTAATTCTGAAAGGTCATCCCTTCACCCCGACGCTGTGCCTCAGGTCATAGTGTCTCTTACTAGTGGAAACATCCTCACCATGTCCACTCTATCCAGGCCTCTCAGTATTCTATAAGTTTCAGTGAGATCATCCCCTCATTCTTTTAAACTCTGCCAAGTCCTCAGCTGCACCTCGTATGACAAACCCTTTATCTGACATCATTCTTGCAAACCTCCTCTGGACTGTCTCCAACACCAGCATATTCTTCCTTAAATATGGAGCCCAAGACCACTCAAAATATTCCAAATGCTGTCAGACTAGAGTTGTATATAGCAGTACATTGCCGCTATTATATTCTAGCCTCCTTAAAGTGATAACAGTTGGTGAGGCTTCTTCTGGAATACAGTGCAGATCTGGTCGCCTTGTTATGAGAAGGATATTATTAAACCGGAGAGGGTTCAGAGAAGATTTGTTGGGATATTGCCAGGAATAGAGGGTTTGAGTTATAAAAAAAAATAGGCTGGGACCATTTTTCCCCGAGAGCAGGAAGGTGAGGGGTGACCTTATTGTAGTTTATAAAATCATGAGGGCACACAAATAAGGTGAATAGTAAAAGTCTTTTATTATGGGGGAGGTCAAGACTGGGGGGAACATTTTTAAGGTGAGAGGAGAAAGATTCAAAAGGATAGGAGGGGCAACTTTTTTTTTTTAAAAACACAGAGATTGGTTCATGTGTGGAATGAACAGCTAAAGGAAGTGGTAGATGCAGGCACAGTTACAATGTTTAAAAGACATTTAGATAAGTACATAAATACCAGTAGGAAAGGTATGAAGAGATATGGGCCAAACGCAGGCAAGTGGGACTAGTGTAGTTTGGGGACATGGTCGGCATGGACCAATTGGACCAAAGGGTCTGTTTCTATGCTTTATGACTCTGTGACTGTGATTTGTCTACTTTTATGCACTTTAAGACCACAGCAACCCCTCTTCTGTAAAGTGGTCTATTTTCAAGCTATCAGTATTTATTTCCTCAAGTTCCCAAACTTCTATGTCTTTCTGCACAGTAAACACTGACACAAAATACCTGAACTGAGTGTCAGTAAACATGCTGGGCAGCTCCAGACTGTTTGACTCGGTGTGCAATGGCCCTTTAAATATGGTGCTGGTGCCAGGTACGAGCTACGCCATACAGCTCCAATATCTGAGCACTGGTGGATACTTCAGCTCCTGCAGCGGAAGAATCAGGCTGGCGTCAGATGAGAGGGTCACCACAGCACCATGGGGGTGTAGCAGGTAGTAGGTGGTTAGTCCACTGCTGGAGGAGTGTGTGCAGTTCTAGTCACCACATGTTAGGGAGGATGTGACTGCAGTGGAGGGGATGTAACAGAGATTCACCAGGATGTTGCCTGAGATAGACCATTTTATCTATGAAAAGAGGCTGAGTAGGCTTCTTTGAAGCAGAGAAGGTTGAGGGGGACCTGACTGAGGTGCATGAGATTATGAGGGGCATGGCCAGGGTGAATGGAAAGCAGCTGTTCCCCTTAGTTCAAGGGTCACTAACAAAGGGATGTATTGTGAAGGTGAAAGGCAGCAGGTTTAGAGGGGATTTGAGGAAAAATACATTCACCCAGAGGGTGGTGGGAGTTTGGAATAAACTACCTGGGAGGGTACTAGAGGCTGAAAACCTCACAACTTTTAATAGGGACTTGGACGGGCACTTAAAGTGTCAATAAGATTCAAGGCCATCAGCCAAATGCTTGGGAGTATTGTTGATCTAGTGTGGTTTTGGCAGTACAGACTCTCTGGGCCAAAGAGCCTCTTCTGTCCCAAATGATTCTATGACATCTACTCTACAAATACATACCCTATATATTAATACTCTACACATATGTTCCCACAATGACCTTATAGAAGTTTATAAAATCATGAGGGGCATGCATAGTGTGAATAGACAAAGTCCTTTCCCCAGGGCAGCAGAGTCCAATGCAAGAGAGCACAGGCCTAAAGTGAGAGGGGAAAGATTTAAAAGGGACCAAAGGGGGCAACTTTTTCACACAGAGGGTGGTTGCCTGTATGGAATGAGCTGCTAGAGGAAGTGGTGGAGGCCTGGTACACTTACAACATTTTGAAGGCATCTGGATGGGGATACAAATAGGAAGGGTTTAGAGGGATATAGGCCAAGTGCTGGCAAATGGGACTAGATCAGTTTAGGATATGGACGAGTTGGACGGAAGGGTCTGTTGCCATGCTATATAACTCTAAATACCATATATATAAGCACTTGCATACTCTGCAAATACATATCAACAAATATTCTGCACATCTATAGCAGAGAAACATCCTCCATAAGCGCTCTGCGCACATATACACACACACACACACACTCGTTCTCCCCCGAGCCCTACAGACTAAGTAAAAACGCTTTCACACAGATGGATATCTCCTCAATAACAGTAGCAAGGTGCTTGGCTGTCAACGAGCCTCATGTGCGTCTGACAGCTAACACTACGTCCACATTTCAATGATGAGTACCCCGTACCGAGACCCCGGAGTAAAACACGCACAAACTCTTACCGGCAGCAGGAAAGGCTCCTAGTTCTCCTGGTGCCGTTTGTGAGTCTTTAGGGTTTCAGAGAGAGCGAGAGCGATGCTGTGGTTTGCTAGGATCTCCTGTCTGATATGTAAATCTGTGGGAGCGCTGCTCTCTCCGCTGTGAGCCTCACCAATAGAGAGATGTGAGATGAGAATAACACCACGGTCCTCTAGCTCCAATCTCCTACCCAGCCACGACCAGTCCCAGTTTCCAATCCAAGGTGTGGATATGAAGGGTCACTCAATTTGCCATTATTCACAGCTCTAGACTGGATGTGGTCTGACTGCGTGTTTGGCCCGTGGTCTATCGCTGAGCTGCTGACCGGAGCTGGAGACATTGGCTCAGATTTAACAGCACTCAGCTGAAGCAAGTATAAGAGCACCTGCATCTTGCTATCAGGCAGGCAATTTGAAATTTTGCAATTTTGAGCAATTCTTTTTAAGTAGCATTTACACTCAAAAATGGTGCTGAAATTTATAAAAACCGAAAGAACTGCTGATGCCGTAAATCGGGAACAAAAACTGAAATTGCTGGAAAAGCTCAGCAGGTCTGGCAGCATCTGTGAAGGGAAATAGCAGAGTTAACGTTTCTGAGGAAGGGTCACCGGACCCGAAACGTTAACTCTTGTTTTTTCTCTTCACAGATGCTGCTAGACCTATTATGCTGAAATTTATAACTGGTGATCTTTAAGTTAAAAAAGAAAGGCTCTAAAAAGAAAGGTTCTAGGTTTGAATTAGTCTAAACTTGGTGATAACCTCTGCCATCATCTATAGAGCTCGGTAATTCCTCGTATTCATAACATTTAATGTAGAAAGTAAAGAAAACTTGCATTTTTAAGCCATATTTTGTAACATCCAAAGGTATTTATAGCCAATGATATACTCTTCGGAAGCTTTCTGTGTGCAAATTTGCAGCCACGTGATAATGACCGGAGAATTTTAATTTATTGGTGCTGTTTGAGGGATAGGTATTGCCAAGGTAAGAGAGAAGTTCCCTGCCTGCTCAATGGGATATCTTTACCAGCCAAGAGCGCATTGAGAAGTCTTTGGTTCATTATCTCATCTGAAAGATGACATCTTTGACAGTGCAGCAATCCCTCAGTGCTCAGTATTTTATCGTGCTCCAGCATCTGCAGTGGGACTGGCCTCTCATCCAGAGGTTCCCCCTCTCACCTTCTGGCCCAGGATTGATTGTCTATAATTAACCACTAATTGGATCTAGCCACAAGGATGGCTGATGTGGAAACTTTATTCACACTATACATTAATGATCTGGATGTAGGAACTGCAGGCATTTTTGCTAGGTTTGCGGCTGACACAAAGATAGGTGGAGGGGCAGATAGTGTTGAGGAAGTGGAAAGGCTGTAGAAGGATTTGGACAGGCTAAGAGAGTGGACGGATGGAACATAATGTGGAAAAGTGTGAGTTTTGCATTATATATTCATCTTACCAAATTTAGACTATTTTCTAAATGGGGAAAGGCTTCAGAAATCTGGGGCAGAAAAGGACTTAGGAGTCCTAGTTCAAGACTCTTAAGGTTAACACGCAAGTTGATTTGGCAGTTAGGAAGACAAATGCAATGTTAGCATTCATTCCAAGAGGATTAGAATACAAGAGCAGAGATGCATTGCTGAGGCTGTATAAGGTTCTGGTCAGAGCACATTTGGAATAATGTGAGCAATTTTGAGCCTGGTATTGAAGGAAGGATGGGCTGGCTTTGGAGGAGATCCAGAGGAGGTCACAAGAACAATCATGGGGATGAAGGGCTTGAGGAAAAATTGAGGACTCTGGTTCTGAACTCGATGGAGTCCAGAAGGATCAGGAGGGGATCTGATTGAAATTTACAGAATACTGAGAGGCCTGGATACAGTGAGTGTGGAGAAGATTTTTCACCCAGTGGGAAAGACTAGGACCCAAGGGCACAGCCTCAGAATAATGGAATGACTTTTTCGAACTGAGATGAGGAGACATTTTTTTTTCAGCCAGAGGGAGGTGAATCTGTGCAACTCATTGCCTCAGAAGGCCTTGGAGACCAAGTCAATGTGTGTAGTTAAGACAGAGATAGATAGGTTCTTGATTAGTAAGGGGATCAAGGATTCCTGGCAGAAGAAAGGAGAATGGAGTTGAGAAACATATCAGCCAATGACTGAATGATAGAACGGACAGGTTGGGCTGAATGGCCTAATTCTGCTGCTATATCTTATGGCCTTATGATCTAATTAATATTTCCCTGGTTTAAGCAACCGAAAGCACACTGAAGCCGACTAAATAAAACTTTACCTGTCCTAGAATTATCTAGGCACCGAAAAGGAAAATTATATCTGTTCTCCAAAACTGTCTCACCTTTTCTTTATTAGCCCAGATGTTATAATTCTTTCTTAATTAAATCAAAATTGAAATGTAGTTACTCCTTAAAGAAAACACATTTGTATCTCTGATAATGTATTTAGTCCCTTTGTCACATTGTTTTTGTTTTTGAGCATATTTTAAAAAGAATTCACAGGAAATAGTTTTGGAAGCGTACAGTAATGTAAAGAAAATCAATGTGTGGAATTGTTTTATAAGAGTACAATAAATAACCTTTGGCAGGTTCAATTGAAACATTCAAGAAGGCATTAGAGGATTATTTAAATGGAAACAATGATTGAGGTTATGGGGAACAGTCAGGAAATTGATATTAAATTGAAATAACAAAAGAGCCAGTGCAGAAACAATGGGCTGACTGGACTCTTCTGTCCCATAACAATTCTGTGACATGTGACATCAAGGTTTAAGTCAGTGGTGATTGCACAGAGGTGGGTCACACACAGGATGCTACCCTGTACTTCAGGAATATGTCAATAGAGTAACCTGCATCAGATGAAGCAGAGAGACCAAAGATGAAGCCCTGTTACAGCAGAGACCACTGAGTGGACAAAGAAAGGAAATCATTGATTCTGGTAAATACCAAAATGGAGGAGAGCAACTTTCTTGGATAAACAGAGAGAGAGAGACTCAAGGAGGTTGAAGTAGACAAGACTTTAAAGGGAAAGTTTGAGAAAGGGCAAAGTTAGAAGTCAATCATCTCAGCTCCAGAACATCAGTGTAGGAGCTCCACAGGATGGTGTCCTAGGCCTAACATCCTCAGCTGCTTCATCAATGAACTACCCTTCATTATAAGATCAGAAGTGGGGATGTTTGCTAATACTGACATAATTTGCCCTCCCCCAGTTTAGTAGCTTCCTGCAAGGTCCTGACTTATCCTTGTTCATAGCTACCTCAAAACCTAAGGAGTTGTGATCACTGTTTCCAACTGTTTGCAGGGCAGGGGTGACCTGTACAAGAGGGACGAGTTGCTCCTAAATTGGAGGGGAACCAACATCCTCACAGGGAGGTTTGCTGGTGCTACTCGGGAGGATTTAAACTAGAATAGCAAGGGACTGGGAACCAGAGCAGCAGGTCAGCAAATGGAGGAATTGAGGGGAAGGTAGATGTTAGGACTAGTAAATCAGAAAGAAAAGACAGGCAAAGGCATGTAAATGAACATGATGGTACTAATGGAATGAAGTGTGTTTATTTCACCGCAAGGAGTATTGTAGGTAAGGCAGATGAGCTTAGAGCCTGGATCAATACATGGGACTATGATGTTGTGGCCATTACAGAGATTTGGTTGAGAGAGGGATAGGACTGGCTGCTCAACATTCCAGGGTATTGTTGGTTTAGACAAGATAGAGAGGAAGGTAAAAAAAGGTGGTGGAGTTGCATTATTAATCAGGGAGAATGTTACACCTGCACTCAGAGAGGATATGCTGGAAGGCTCATCTACTGAGACAATACGGGTAGAGCTCAAAAATAAGATGGGTGCAATCACTCTGATTGGATTATATTATAGGACTCCCAAAAGGCACTGAAGGATTGAGAAACAAATATGTAGGCAGATTATGGACAGTGCAATAAATCAGAGTTGTCACAGTGGGTGACTTTAACTTCCCTGGTATTGACTGGGATTCCATTAGAGCAAGAGGCTTAGGTAGGCTAGAATTTGTTAAGTGCATTCAAGAGGGTTTCTTGAAACAGTCTGAGAATAGCCCAACTAGAGGAGGGGCCATACTGGACCTTGTATTGGCTAATGAGCCTGGCCAGATGACTGACCTTTCACTGGGACAGCATTTTGGAGACAGTGATCACAACTCCCTAAGTTTTAAGATAGCTCTGAACAAGAATAAGTCAGGACATTGCAGGAAGGTACTAAATTGGGGGAGGGCACATTACATTAAAATTAGGCAGGAGCTATGGAGTGTTAATTGGGAGGAGGTGTTATCGGGCAAGTCCACATATGACATGGAGGAAGGATAAGGATGGCAAGGTAAGTGACCCTTGGATAACAAGGGAGATTGTGAATTTAGTCAAAAGGGAAAAAGAAGTATATGTAAGGTTTAGGAAGCTAAAATTGGACAGGGCCTGGGAGGAACATAAGGAAAGCAGGAAAGTACTCAAGCAGGGAATTAGGAGAGCAAGAAGTAGCTATGAAAGGGCTTTGGCAAATAGGGTTAAATAAATTCCCAGGGCATTCTATTGATACATTAAAAACAAAAGGATGATGGCAGATGGAGTTTTACTCTGAAAAGTGTGAGGTGATTCATTTTGGAAGGCCAAACTTGAAAGCAGAATGCAGGGTTAAGGGAAAGGTTCTTGTTAGTGTGGAGGAGGCAGAAGGATCTTGGGGTTCATGTCCACAGTTCCCTGAAAGCTGCCACCCAGGTGGATAGAGTTGTTAAGAAGGCGTATGGTGTGTTAGCTTTCATTAATAGAGGGATTGAGTTCAAGAGCCGTGAGGTTATGCTCCAGATATACAAAAGCCTGGTTCGGCCACATCTGGAGTATTGTGGCCAGTTCTGGTCGCCTCATTACAGGAAAGATGTGGAAGCGTTGGAAAAGGTGCAGAGGAGATTTACCAGGATGTTGCCTGGAATGGAGAGAAGGTCTTATGAGGAAAATTTGAGAGAGCTAGGACTTTTCTCTTTAGAACGACGAAGGATGAGAGGTGACTTGATAGAGGTGTACAAAATGATCAGAGGTATAGATAGAGTGGACAACCAGAGACTTTTTCCGAGGGTGGAGGTAGCTATTACGAGGGGGCATAGTTTTAAAGTGAGTGAAGGTAGATATAGGGAAGACGTCAGAGGTAGGTTCTTTACTCAGACAGTGGTCGGGGCTTGGAATGCATTGCCAGAGAAGGTAGTGGAGTTGCCCTCATTAGGGGCATTTAAGCAGCTATTAGATAGGCATATGGATGATAGTTTAAGGTAGGGGTGGAGGTTAGATAG